TGTGTGTGTGTGTGTGTGTGTGCGTGTGTGTGTGTGTGTGTGTGCGTGCGTCTGCGCTTGCGTGTGTCTGCGCGTGTGTGTGCGCGTGTGTGTGCGTGTGTCTGTGCGTGTGTGTGTGTGTGTGTGTCTGTGTCTGTGCGTGTGTGTGCGCGTGTGAGTGCGTGTGTGTGTGTGTGTGTGTGCGTGTGTGTGTGCGTGTGTGAGTGCGTGTGTGTGTGTCTGTGTCTGTGCGTGTGTGTGCGCGTGTGAGTGCGTGTGTGTGTGTGTGTGTGTGCGTGTGTGTGTGCGTGTGTGAGTGCGTGTGTGTGTGTCTGTGTCTGTGCGTGTGTGTGTGTGTGTGTCTGTGCCTGTGTGTGTGTGTGTGTCTGTGCCTGTGTGTGTGTGTGTATGTGTGTGTGTGTGTGTGTGTGTCAGGTCCGGCGGGTGAGTGGATGGAGCAGCCGCAGGAGCGTCCGCAGGAGGTCAGTGTGAAGATGCTGGACTCCAGCACGGCTGCTGTGTCCTGGGCTCCGTCGCGTCACAGATATAACGGCAGTCTGATCTCGGTGCTGTCGCTCACCTGTCTGCGGCCCAGCATCAGCCAGCGCATGGAGAACACCTACTGCTCCGAGGTTCTGATCCACAGCCAATCACTCACCTGATTTAAATGGGTTGGGTTTAATGTCACATACTTAGATTTAACCAGTTCATGCGGTCAGTCATGGTACCAGTAAAACTCTATCTGCGTCAGCAAAAGTGTTACAGAAGCTGCGTTATGATGCATGATATACATTAGAGCTGCGCCTCTAATTCAACCTCTAACAAATCTAATTCACTCATTTAAAAAAAAAAAATCAGGTTTGTTGTGCTTGTTTGTAGGGCATATTTTACCTGTTGTAAAATGCTTTGAGAAAGAACTTTTATAAAATAAAATTATTATTATTATTACATATAAACATTACCAAAAAAATATAACTTTTTCCCTGCAAAATAAAAATTGAGTATTTGAAATATATTTATATATATATTTGCATTACAACCGTAACATTACAGTACTAATATTTATGGTCTTAATTTAAACCATCAATGGTTTATTTTGACGGAGAACCGTCTGACCGTCTTAATGTTAATGTCATGTGACCCGCTCTCCGCTCTCTGATAGGAGAACATCACCAGTGACATCATCAGCAGCCTGACCCCCGGCGCTCAGTACAGAGTGATGGTTTATCACACCAACGGGCCGCTGGTTAGTCCCCCGTCCGAGCCGGTCATCATCGACATCGGTGAGTGCAAATACAGTCAAACCAAGCTTCAGCATTTCTCACAGTACCCCGGTTTATTCGCTATAGTTTAGAAAGTGACTCAAGAGTTGAACTGTGTCAGAACAAACTCATCTTGATAATGTCAGATAACTTTGATAGAAAGGTATGTAATGAATTCAGCTGTTAAATTTAAGAACACAATTAGATAATACCAGTCTAGCTCAACCGGTTACCAAGCAGTGCTTCATTTAGTTCAGTCTGTGGTGTAAAAAGATCACATTCAAGTGTCATGCATGAGTGTGTGTGAGTGAGTGTGTGTGTCATGTGTGTGTGTAAGCCGCGTGTCATGTGTGTGTGTGTGTGTGTGTTTGTGTGTCAGGTCCGGCGGGTGAGTGGATGGAGCAGCCGCTGGAGCGTCCGCAGGAGGTCAGTGTGAAGATGCTGGACTCCAGCACGGCTGCTGTGTCCTGGGCTCCGTCGCGTCACAGATATAACGGCAGTCTGATCTCGGTGCTGTCGCTCACCTGTCTGCGGCCCAGCATCAGCCAGCGCATGGAGAACACCTACTGCTCCGAGGTTCTGATCCACAGCCAATCACTCACCTGATTTAAATGGGTTGGGTTTAATGTCACATACTTAGATTTAACCAGTTCATGCGGTCAGTCATGGTACCAGTAAAACTCTATCTGCGTCAGCAAAAGTGTTACAGAAGCTGCGTTATGATGCATGATATACATTAGAGCTGCGCCTCTAATTCAACCTCTAACAAATCTAATTCACTCATTTAAAAAAAAAAAATCAGGTTTGTTGTGCTTGTTTGTAGGGCATATTTTACCTGTTGTAAAATGCTTTGAGAAAGAACTTTTATAAAATAAAATTATTATTATTATTACATATAAACATTACCAAAAAAATATAACTTTTTCCCTGCAAAATAAAAATTGAGTATTTGAAATATATTTATATATATATTTGCATTACAACCGTAACATTACAGTACTAATATTTATGGTCTTAATTTAAACCATCAATGGTTTATTTTGACGGAGAACCGTCTGACCGTCTTAATGTTAATGTCATGTGACCCGCTCTCCGCTCTCTGATAGGAGAACATCACCAGTGACATCATCAGCAGCCTGACCCCCGGCGCTCAGTACAGAGTGATGGTTTATCACACCAACGGGCCGCTGGTTAGTCCCCCGTCCGAGCCGGTCATCATCGACATCGGTGAGTGCAAATACAGTCAAACCAAGCTTCAGCATTTCTCACAGTACCCCGGTTTATTCGCTATAGTTTAGAAAGTGACTCAAAGTTACACTGTGTCAGAACAAACTCATCTTGATAATGTCAGATAACTTTGATAGAAAGGTATGTAATGAATTCAGCTGTTAAATTTAAGAACACAATTAGATAATACCAGTCTAGCTCAACCGGTTACCAAGCAGTGCTTCATTTAGTTCAGTCTGTGGTGTAAAAAGATCACATTAGCAATTAAAGAAAAACATGCTCAGCTCAAAGTGACTGAATCATTTTTGCTTCCAAATTGTACTGTTAGTCCACTGTATGAAGAGTTTCTGGGTTTAATATGTCACAGTTCACTTTATTTTGCTATCTTCACTTACAACTTTCCACCTTATTTTTTAACGTGGAAGTAAGGCACATTAATGTGCGTCAATGTGTTCATAATTAACTCTTTCCCCACCAGCGTTTTTGCTGATTTTCACTCAAATTTCATGGCCGCCAGAATATTTTGTTTTATGAATATCTGAACACGCAATACATCTCAATAAAATCAGACCGTCTACTTTCAAACAAAAGAATCTGTTTGATTCTAGCGTCAAGCATTGTTTTTTTATCAACACTTGAATGTAGGTAGGTTTCATAAGAAAAGCAACATTTTGAGCAAATTGCATTTTTATCAAATACTGCATCTGGATCATATTCGGTAATATTATCAGAGCAAAGCTGCAGAAGATGGCTTCCATCAGCAAAGCTTGCACACTTTCTGGATCCACATTTCACTCGCTAACATCAGGCAGTTTTCATTTATACGCGGTTAGTGTTGATGATCGCATTATTTTTCATATGCATGCGCTTACATCTGAGATCGCTGGTTTCTGCGTCTTCCTCGCCTGTGTTTTTGATCGAGTGATTCTAGACTCATTCAGGAGATGCGTAATAGCGCCCCCTAGCGTACAACATTGAAAACATAAAAAATTCTGTGTTTGGCAGGGAAAGAGTCAAGATAATATATCAAAAATGATATGTGGTGTCTGAATGATTTTTGGTTGGGCTGTATAATGAAGCTCCGCCCCCCGTGACTGACTCTGCTCTGTGATTGGCTGTGTTTGATCTGTCAGAGCCGACAGGTGTGCATGATCTGGTGGTTTATCCGCTCAGTCCCAGTGCTGCCATCCTCAGCTGGCAGCGGCCGTATAACGTGGCCTTCAGAAAATACGTCCTGCAGACCTTCTTCTTCAACTCGGCCACGCAGACGTCTCAGTGGACCACTTACTACGAGATCGCCGCCACCGCGTCCGTCATCGCCTCTGTGGTAACCACACACACCGCTAACCGCTTAACATCACACACGCTGTCCTTAAAGAGTCCTACATTCAATCTAAAGGCCTTTCATCATTGCCAGAGATCTTACGTTTAGGGATGGATTAACAGGAATCACGATACGGCCTCGTGTTTCAAAATAAAAGTCCTGGTGCATTTCAGGCGTGTTTGCAATTAAAAGTCCCGCGTTATGCACAACGTTGGTTTTTTCTTGATATTATTGGTATCAGTGTTGGGTAAGTTACTCTAAAAAAGTAATTAATTACTAGTTACCAATTACTTCTTCAACAGTGTAATTAGATTACTGTACGAATAAAGTATGCATAAAAACACTTATAAAACACTGATAGGAATACCGAGATAAAAGAAAAAAATACAACGTCTTGTTACTTTATTGTAACATATATCATACAATTATTATATTAGTGCTACCAGTATTACAACATCAACATTGTAACTTATTTGTAACATTTGAACTTTTAATTTAGTGCAATATTTTGTCATTGCAACATTTTAGTGCATTACTCGTTCTGTGACAACACTCAACAAAATGTAATAATTGTGAATTCATATATTATTACTAGACACCTTAAGGATAATGTGAACCTATATCTTTATGTTAACATACTTTACTAGGCTTTTGTTTCGGAGCTTTGATGCAGGCATCATCTTCTCGTGGTGCAAACGGGAAGTAAACTGCTCTGGTCATGTGACAATCATTGTGACACTGCACATATTTCATTGAGACCCTTTACTTTCCCATATTTGCAGGAAATGCACTAAAACACCAGTCAGCAATGTTTTTAGAGCTTTATAAATGAAAGCCTCCTTCACTGTCACCATCATGACTGGTGGGATTAAATGGGTTTTAATTTAAATTTTCGCTCATTTCCATCCTCAGAGAGTGACGGATCTGTTGCCGGCCTGGTTCTATAACTTCCGCGTGACGATGGTGACGTGGGGCGATCCTCCGCTGAGCTGCTGCGATGCTTCTACCGTCAGCTTCGTCACAGGTGCGCCGATCTGTACATAGTTTAAATAAGCTTTCCATTGATGTATGGTTTGTTAGGATAGGACAATATTTGAAAATCTGGAATCTGAGGGTGCAAAAAAATCTAAATATTGAGAAAATCATCTTTAAAGTTGTTCAAATGAAGTTCTTAGCAATGCATATTACTAATCAAACATTAAGTTTTGATATATTTACGGTAGGAAATTTACAAAATATCTTCATGGAACATGATCTTTACTTAATATCCTAATGATTTTTGGCATAAAAGAGAAATGTATAATTGTGACCCATACAATGTATTGTTGGCTATTGCTACAAATATCCCCCAGCGACTCAACACTGCTTCTGTGCTGCAGGGTCACTAATGTTCACTAACCCTAACTAATAATGTAGTACAGATAAACATATTTGCAGATAAATCTAAATTTCAGAAAATTGACCCTTATGACTGGTTTTGTGGTCCAGGGTCACAAATATTAAAATACATTACGTCAAAGAGTTTCAGCATTGAAAGGGTTAAATGAGTCACTGAGTGTGTGTTTGATGGCCAGCTCCTGAAGCTCCTCACATCTCGTCGGTGGATTACGCTCACGGGACGCTGTTCGTGCGCTGGACTTACGGCGATCTGTTCACCGATCTCTCGCATTCGCGGATGCTACACTGGCAGCTGACGGCTGAAGGGAAGAAGGGCGCGAGGAGACGCTACTCCATCGACGTGAGTCTCTCCAAACACAACCTTCACTAGAAAACACAACACAACCTCTCTCTCTCACACACACACACACAATCACTCACACGCACGCACGCACACTCACACACACACACAATCACTCACACAC